CTGGGAACAGAGTCAGGAGAGGGGCTGATGAAACAGCAAATCCATCTGTATCCTGGGCCCTGCCCTTTCAGACCTAAGCTTTTCTTTTCATACTGAGAACAGATGGCAACCAGACATTGGAGGGAGGGATCTATTTCTTGTGTTCCTTGGGGATTTTACATTCAGTTTAGCAAAACGTCATTTAAAAGCAAAGAGAAAAATTAGCCTGCAGTCTGTTCACAATTATGTAGGACTTGTTAGGCATTCACTATACTGACAGATTTTAGCACTTTTGCAGACATTAAATGATAACAGCATTTATTTTCCAATACAATGTTGTCACTGTTTCAGAAGCATTGGGGTCATTGCCTATACTTTGGAGTGCACTTAATAATTCAATTTATTGTAAAACAGTCAACTTACAAAATCAGTCATCTTATTAGAGGAAGTCAGAAAAATAGGAGATTTTTCTTCAGCAAACTCTCTTTTCCATTATTAAATGGAGCAACTTCTATACTGGTTTAGTGACAATTGTGTGGATGTCTTTAGTAATGGCCACATTCCGCTGCCTTTCTGCAGACTGTTTCTTCCCTAGCTTGCCGGTATGTGGGCTGATTTGTTAGTGTTTGGTGGTTCCTGGATAGTGAACTTCAGTCTTAGGAATTTTTTCCTAAAAAGACGTTTATAGGAACTTTTTTTTTCTAGAGTCAGAGTTAAGATCAGAGAGAATTATGCAGGCTTTAAACAGAGGAGTAGAGAAAATCCAAATTTGAACTTCTTAACCTTAAGTGGCCTTCAGAAGGAGTTGTTTTGACTACAGATAATGAGTCATATATAGAAAAAGAAGTGATGATACAGATTCTACATTCAGAATAAGAAATTTTAGGCAATAACATAAGGCATTCTGATAGCTGAACCTCACTTTCTGAGCAAACATTAGTGTTTTCTTTATGTGAAGTCTGTTCTTTTAGAATGTGAGTTGAGATCATTGATTTTCCCACCCAAGGCAAGAATCTTGATTTTAAATTAAAATCTTCGGAAAGTTGGAACCACTTAAAAATTTCCATATAGATACTAACTTTATTTCTGAACCTGGAATAATTTTTTAAAGTAATAGAGCCCTTTTTTTTAAGCCACAGCTTACGTGTACAGAAGCCTAAAAAATAAAATTAGTGAAACAGTAGCTGCCGTGGTTGAATCAGGAAGGGCAGCAGGGAACCAGGCTTTTCCTGAGGCACCTCTGGGAAATTATAAGTGTACTATTAAGAAGCACTGGTGTAGCTGATTTAAAATTATATTTAAGGAATTTGTTTTCCAGTTGATTTTGGACCTCATTATCTGCATTTATGATAAAACATAATGGCAGAATATTTGGGTAGAAATTTGTTTAAGATATGCTGAGTAGCCTTGCTTAGCCACTCACACTTAACACTTTCTTGTTTGGGTTTCCTCCAAGTTCCATCATAGGGCCTGGCAGAGTAAGTGCTCAATAAGTGTTAAATAAACGAATCATTGCCAAGAGATACTCCAGTTTCTGCTAGAGCACTTCTGATGATGGAGAACTCATTATCTTAGAAGATTATTCTTTTCGACTAGCTCTGATTGATAGAAGTAAACCAAAAATACTTCCATGCATGTATTACTACTCATCATTCTTAGTTTTGCTCTTGAGCTGCAGGTAAAATTTGGTTCTTCTTTAGACCGTAAAGTACTTGAAGAGTGCTATTATCTTCTTTCTTCATCCTATCTACCACTTCTTGTCCTGCCCCTGTCTCTCCCACATGCAATCTTTTCTTTTCCCTACTAAACTTTATCTGTTCTTTCAGCTGTCATGGTTTCCAGCTGTTTCACCATCTTGATCACCTTTTTTATTGATGCTTTTTAGTTTATCAAGGTTACTCTTAAAATTTAATATCCCAGATGGACATAGTATTTTAAAATTAGGTCTGTCTGTTACCTAGTACTCTGGACTAGAAGCTCCCTTAAATGAGTCTTCAAATGCAACTATATTTCTTTAAACACTTATCAGTAATAAAGATTTCTTTAGTTCTATGAATAGCCATTACTAGCTATTAGACCTTAGGTAAATTACATAACTACTGTTTCTTAGTCTGTAAAGTACAAATATTAATAGTGCTTACTGTATAAAGTTATTGTGAAGCTTAAGTGAGATGATATATGCAAAGTGTTATCACAGTTCCTAGCATATAGTAAGCATGCAGTGAATGATAATTACCATTATTAGTTACTATAATTAATCCGAAATTTTTAGAATTGTAAACAGAAAACCTGCCACATAGAGAAAAATTTTTCTTAATTGATTTATTCATTCACCATACAATTATTAAATGCCTACTGTATGCCAGGCTGCCGCTCGTCTGTCATTTTGTTGTACTGTGGTGTCTTGCGTGTTGCTGTGATGCTGGAAGCTGTGCCACCGGTATTGCAAATACCAGCAGGGTACACCCGTGGTGGACAGGTTTCAGCGGCGCTTCAGGACTAAGACAGACTAGCAAGAAGGAACTGGCGATCTACTTCTAAAAAAAAAAATGGCCAGTGAAAGCCTTATGAATAGCAGCAGAAAGTTGTCGGATATAGTGTCAAAAAATGAGCTCCTCAGGTTAGAAGGCGCTCAAAATACTACTGAGAAAGAGCTGCCTCCTCCAAGTAGAACCAAAAACAAAAAAAACACCTGTTGCTGTCAAGTTGATTCCAACTCATAGCAAGCCTATAGGACAGAGTAGAACTGCCCCATAGGGTTTTCAAGGAGCAGCTGCTGGATTCGAACTGCCAGCCTTTTGATTAGCAGCCAAGCTCTTAACCACTGAGCCACCAGGGCTTCTCAGCCATATCATGAGGTAGCATATGATCAAGAACTGATGGTACTGAAGGAGGAAGTCCAAGCTGCACTGAAGGCATTGGTGAAAAACAAGACTCTGGGAATTGATGGAATACCAACTGAGATGTTTCAACAAATAGATGCAGCCCTGGAAGTGCTCACTCGTCTGTGCCAAGAAAATTGGAAGACAGCTACCTGACCAACCGACTGAAGGAGGTCCATATTTGTGCCCACTCCAAAGAAAGGTGATCCAGTCAAATGTGGAAATTATCAAACAATATCATTAATATCACATGCAAGTAAAATTTTGCTGAAGATCATTCAAAAGTGACTGCAGCAATACATCAACAGGGAACTGCCGAAAATTCAAGCTGGATTCAGAAGAGGACGTGGAACCAGGGGTATCATTGCTGATGTCAGATGGATCCTGACTGAAAGCAGAGAATACCAGAAAGATGTTTACGTGTGTTTTATTGACTATGCAAAGGCATTCAACTTTGTGGATCAAAACAAATTATGGATAACAGTGCAAAGAATGGGAATTCCAGAATACTTAATTGTACCCATGCAGAACCTGTACATAGAGCAAGAGGCAGTTGTTCGAACAGAAAAGGGGATTCTCTGTGGTTTAAAACCAGGAAGGATGTGCATCAGGGTTGTATCCTTTCAATACTTATTCGGTCTGTATGCTGAGCAAATAATCCGAAAAGCTGGACTATGAAGAAGAACAGGGCATCAGAATTAGAGGAAGACTCATTAACAACTTGTGTTATGCAAATGACACAACCTTGCTTTCTGAAAGTGAAGAGGACTTGAAGCACTTCCTGATGAAGATCAAAGACTACAGCCTTCAGTATGGATTACACCTCAGCATAGAGAAAACAAAAATCCTCACAACTGGACCAGTAAGCAACATCATGATAAATGGAGAAAAGATTGAAGTTGTCAAGGATTTCGTTTTACATGGATCCACAATCAATGCCCATGGAATCAGCAGTCAAACAATCAAATGACGTATTACATTTGGCAAGCCTGCTGCAAAAGACCTCTTCAAAGTGTTAAGAAGCAAAGATGTCACCTTGAGGACTAAAGTGTGCCTGACCCAAGCCATGGTATTTTCCGTTGCCTCATATGCATGCGAAAGCTAGACAGTGAATAAGGAAGACTGAAGAAGAATCGATGCCTTTGAATTATAGTGTTGACAAAGAATATTGAATTGCCATGGACTACCAGAACAAACATCTGTTGGAAGAACTGCTACCAGAATGTTCCTTAGAAGCAAGGATGGTGAAACTTCATCTCATGTACTTTGGACGTATTATCAGGAGGGACCAGAACCTGAAGAAGGCCATCATGCTCGATAAAGTAGAGGATCAGTGGAAAAGAGGAAGACTCTCAACGAGATGGACTGACACAGTGGCTGCCAACAATGGGCTCAAACACAGCAATGATTGTGAGCATGGCACGGGACTGGGCAATGTTTCGTTGTGTTGTGCATAGGGTCACTATGAGTGAGAACTGACCCAATGGCACCTAACAACAACATAATCCAGGCAGTTTGCTAGGTAGGCTTGACTTTTCCCATCTGTAAAAATGGGAACTAATAATATTAATAATAACAATCCCATCCCCATAGGACTGTTTTAAAGATTAAAAGAGTGCTTTGTACATACCTGAGGTTGGATTGTAATTGTTCATTTACTAGCTAGCCTCAGTTCCTTAAGGGTAAACCATTGTATTACATATATCCTATTATTTCCTAGTCCTTTAGCAAAGCAACTACTCTGTAATGTTTCATAACCGTACTGAATCATCAAACTCTGTGAAAGTGCCTTTTAAATTACAAAGGGATATATAAATATAGAAGCATTAATTCCACAGTCATAGACAATGTGGTGGTTTTCAGACTCTATTCCTTAGAACTGAGGGTTCCAGAGGTGCCTCAGGTACTGTCCAATAAGGCCCACGAGGAGTAAGTAGAGATTCCAGACCCTCCCCAGTACAGTTCAGTTAGAACAATTCTGCTTTTATTTATTTTTTACTTGTTCTTCTGTTTAAAAAAAGATTTGAAAACCATTATCTAGTTTGTGTTTACTTTATAGACAATATAGGTTTGTTCTATGATGATTGGTGTGATCCATTATCCTTTGAGATATTGACTTTCCCCTTTTCCGTTTGACAGACAGATGTGCTGGTCCTCAGCTGTGATCTGATAACAGACGTTGCCTTACATGAGGTTGTGGACCTATTCAGAGCTCATGATGCATCACTTGCTGTGTTAATGAGAAAAGGCCAAAACAGCATAGAACCAGTCCCAGGTCAAAAGGGGAAGAAAAAAGCAGGTAAGGAAGAATGCAGTTTGATTTATTTGTTTGCTGTGTTTTTATAATCACTATTATTATTAATGCATTTATTGAGAACTTACTATGTCCCTCCCAGGCACTATGCTAGGGGTTGATGACATAAAAACAAATAAGACACAGTCCCTGACTTGAAGATGCTTATAACTATTGATCAGATTCTGTAATGTCCAAGAGGCTTTTGCTCCCGGAGAGGAGCGCTCAGAGCTATTTACATTGCATTTAAGGCTCGAATGATTGAATACACGTATTTAAGAAACAAAAAAAATAAAGTCATTTTTAAAAATATTTAAACTTTGATTACAAATTTAATTAGATACTTTTCAATGATTTAAATTGATATTACAAATTTAGTATATATTGGAATATTCTAGTTTTGTTATTTTTCAAGTTTTCATATTCACGTATGGCCTCATAGTGTATTGTAGATTGTTGCTCAAGATCGTGTTAGTGGTAGGTGGTAGAACCAGAACTTGAACCCATGTTTTCTGACTCCATAGCCCATGCTTGTATGCTTGCTTGCTTCCTTCTTTTCTTTTTCTGAATTTAGTTTTTATTTTTATCAAAGTTTTATATGCACATCATTTAAAGAGTCATGAAATTATCTAAGGCATATTATGATAAATAGCAAGTCCTAAAACCACCCTCACGTTCTATAATTAGCTAGAAAGACTTAACAGAACTCACTGAAAACTATTATACTTACCATTATGGTTTATTAAAGGGAAAGAATACAGATTAAAATCAACCAAGAGAAGAAGCAGATAGGGCAGAGTTCAGGAGGAGTACCAAACAAAGAGCTTCCACTGTCCTCTTCCCATTGAGTCAGGACAGTGTTACTTTTCAAGTATCGTTGTATGACAATACACATGAAGTATTGGCAGCCAGAGAAGCTCACCTGAGCCTTGGTGTCCAGAGTTTTTATTGGGGCCCCATTACATAGGCATGATTGATTGCCCACGTGGCTGATCGCAGTCTCCAGCCCCTCCTGAGGTCAACTGATACCACATGGCCCCCACCCTACGTCACCTTGTTGGTCTTTCTGGCATGATCAGCCCCTACCCTAAATACTATCTGTTGTGGCCAGTGCCACTCTTTAAATCATGTTGTTAGACTATCTAGCATGACCCAAGGCCCCCAGGTAAACAAAGATACTCCTATCAGATCTGACATCCCAAGGGTTTAGAGATTACCTCCTACAAGCCAAGGGAAAAGGCCAGACCTCTTTTTGTTGTTGTGTTGTTAGCTACTGTTGAGTTGGTTCCGACTCATAACGACCCTATGTACAACACAGTGAAACACTGCCTCATCCTGTGCCATCCCCCTAATCGTTGCTTTGAGCCCATTGTTGCAGCCACTGTGTCAATCCGTCTCATTGAGGGTCTTCCTCTTTTTCGCTCACCCTCTACTTTACCAAGCATGATGTCCTTCTTCAGGGACTAGTCCCTCCTGATAACATTTCCAAAGTCCGTGTCTAAGTTATCTAGTGCTGCTATAACAGAAGTACCACAAGTGGATGGCTTTAACAAACAGAAATTTATTTTCTCACAGTTTAGAAGATCAGAGGTCTGAATTCAGAGCATTGGGTTGAGGGGAAGTCCTTCTCTGTCGGCTCTGGAAGAAGATCATTGTCTCCTTTCAACATCTGTGGGCCTGGCATTCCTTGGAAATCTACATGTGTCTTGCTTGGCATCAGTCTTCTCCTGGGTCTATGAGGTGCTCAGAGTGCAGGAACCCCAGGTCCAAAGGACACACTTCATTCCTGGCTCTTCTTTCTTAGTGGTAGTCAGGTCCCTCCTCTGCTCACTTCTCTCTCCTTTTATCTCTTATAAGATAAAAGGTGATGCAAGCCCCAGGGAAACTTCCCTGACATGGGATCATGCCTGTGACCTGAGTAAGGGTGTTGTGACCCACCCTAATCCTTTACACCTGATTGGCTGATCACATCAGATCACATCATGGGGGATGATTACATCTTTTCTTTCTTTCCTGTCTTTTTAATGACCTTTTGCTTTCTTCATATGTGATGTCTTTCATGTCATCCCACAACTCATCTAGTCTTCGATCATCAAATCTGTTCTTGAGATGTTTTCTAAATTCAGGTGGGATATATTCAAGGTCATACTTTAGCTCTCACGGACTTGTTCTGATTTTCTTTAGCTTCAGCTTGAACTTGCGTATGAGCAATTGATGGTCTCTTTTGCAGTTGATCCCTGGCCTTGTTCTATCTGATGATATTGAGTTTCTCCATCGTCTCTTTCCACAAATGTAGTCGATTTGATTCCTGTGTATTCCATCTGGTGAGGTCTATGTGCATAGTCACCATTTATGTTATTAAAAAAAGGCATTTGCAATGAGTAAGTCATTGTTCTTGTAAAATTCTATCATGCCGTCTCCGGCGTCATTGCTATCACCAAAGTCATATTTTCCAACTACTGTTCCTTCTTCTTTGTTTCCATGTTTCGCATTCTAATCACCAGTAATTATCAATGCACCTTGATTGCATGGTTGATCAATTTCAGACTGCAGAATTTGGTAAAAATCTTCAATTTCTTCACCTTTGACATTAGTGGTTGGTGCATAAATTTGAATAATAGTTGTATTAACTGGTCTTCCTTGTAGGTGTATGGATGTTATCCTATCACTGACAGCATTTTACTTCAGAATTTATCATGAAGTGTTCTTTTTGACAATGAATGTGATGCCATTCCTCTTTAGTTTGTCATTCCCAGCATAGTAGACCATATGACTGTCCAATTTAAAATGGCCAATACCAGTCCATTTTAGCTCAGTAATACCTAGGATATCGATGTTTATGTGTTCCATTTTATTTTTGACTGTTCTCAGTTTTCCTAGGTTCAGACTTCATGCATTCCATATTCTGATGATTAATGGATATTTGCAGCTGTTTCTTCTCATTTTGAGTCGTGCCACATCAGCAATTAAAGATCCTGATAGCTTTACCGCATCCACATCATTAAGGTCAACTCTACTTTGTGGAAGCAGCTCTTCCCCAGTCATATTTTGAGTGCCCCCCAACCTGAGGGGGGCTCATCTTCTGGCACTAATCAGACAATGTTGTGCTGGTACTCATAACGTTTTCACTGACTGTTTTAGAAGTAGATCACCAGGTCCTTCTTCCTAGTCTGACTTAGTCTGGAAGCTCAGCTGAAACTTGTCCAGTGTGGGTGACCCTGCTGGTATTTGAAATACCAGTGGCATAGCTTCCCACATCACAGCAACACTAAGCCACCATAGTACAACAAACTGACAGACGAGTGGTGGAGAACTCTTTCTGGGCAGCATTAAAATCTTCACTATACAGTGAGCATATGCAAGAGTTTCTTAGTACAATTGCTGGGTTGTAGGATATATGAATGCTTAATTTTGAGGATAATTTTAAACTGTTTTACTCTTTTCCATAGTAGTTACAGGTAGTCCCCAACTTAAGATGGGGTTTCATTTCAACAACTCCGTCGTAAGTTGGTTCTGACATAAGTTGAATACTTCTTTTTTTTTTTTAAGTTTTCCTTATTTTTGCCTTTTATTATCAGTATCTTTATAAATCTGATCTTTATTTGTCTTTGGGGGTTGCAAACATTACATATAAATTTACAGATATATTTTAATATGTACATACATACATATCACTAACAGTAAGATGTGAAAAAAAACAGACAATTGTAAGTTCGATTTGTTGTGACTCGAATATGTCATAAGTCAGGGACTACGTGTATTTCAGTTTCCCCTTCTACTAGCAATTTGAAGGAACCCTGTGCTCCATCTACTTGCCAGCACTTTGTATTGCATTTGCATCAGTTGGGTAAGAGTAAGATGTTATGTCATTGTGTTCTTGATCTACACTGCCCTGATGTAATGAAGTTGAACATTTGTGTTTGTTCACTCGTCATGTTTACCTTCTCTTCAGTGAAAAGCCTGTTCATATCTTTTGTGTAGTTTTCAATGAGGTTATTTGAACTTTTCTTATTGATTTATATTCTTGTTACTAATTCTATGTAAGTTGTATGTGCTGCAAATATACTTTCCTAGTTTAAAACTTGTCTTTTTACTTTCTTTAAGATGTCTTTTGATGAACAAAAGTTCTGAATTTAATATAATCAAATTTATGAAAAATTTAAAAGCACATTTTGTGTCTTGTTTAAGAACTTCCCCAGTGTAAGTTCTGAACAATATTAGCTTCAATTTTCTATTAAGAATTTTAAAGTTTTCTATTTGACCTATAAGTCCTTGATCCCTCTGGAGTTGTGTTTTGTATGTGGTGTGATGTTAGCACACAGTTTAATCATTTTTCCATACGTATGGCCTTTTTTCCTAGCTCCATTTACTGAATAGACCATCCTTTCTCCACTGATCTGACACATCAGCTTTGCCATACTTCCAAGTTTCATACATGCTTGGATCCGTTTCTGGGTTCTGTTTTATTCCATTGGTCAATTTGTCTATCCCTGTACCAATATTAAAATAGTCATAGTTAGTATACATTTATTCTAAGTCCCAGTATAAGGTAGGGCAAGTCTCTTCTCCTTGCTCTTCTTTTTCAGAAGTATCCTGGCTATTTTGGGCCCAGTACTCTTCCACATGAATATTTAGAATCTACTTATCAAGTTTCATGAATAACTTATTAAGATTTATATCAGAATTGCATTAATTATTGGTTCAGTGGTAGAATTCTCACTTTCCATGTAGGAACCCAGATTTGATTCCTGGCCAGTACACCTCATGTACATCTACTACCTGCCCATCAGTGGTGTTTTACATGTTGCTGTGATGCTGACCAGGTTTCAGTGGAGCTTCTAGACTAAGACAGACTAGGAAGAAAGGCCTGTCTACTTCCAAAAATCAGCCAATGGAAGCCCTATAGATCACAATGGTCCAATCTGCAACTGATCTTGGGGATGGCACAGGACTGGGCACCATTTTGTTCCGTTGTGCATTGGGTCATCATGAGTCAAGGGCCAACT